GATTCTTGGCCTTAAAACTCGATTCTAATATGAATTCCACCTAAATAATCATGGAAATTAATCCAAAAATTGAAGAACTAGGGCTTGAAAATTTAGACCTTTGATTGAGGATTTGAAGGACCATTTGAGGTCGGATTTCAGAACTTTTGATATATATGAACTCGTGGGGAGATAAGAAATCTATTGATGTAAAAATTATCAAATTCCGAGACGTGGGCCCGAGGGTCGAGTTTTGGTAATTTCAGAATTTATATTGTAATTGATTATTTTCGCTTGGGCTTCGTTCCCTTAGCATATTTTGACATCCTCGTTCTGATTTTGGATAGATTCGATGTGAGTGGAGGCCGATTCGAGGGGCAAAGACATCGTGAGCTAGAGATTTGACCGGTTCGAGGAGAGTAATGATTGTAAATGATGTTCTGAGGGTATGAAACCCGGACTTGCACATCGTTGTGCTATATTGAGGTGACGTACACGCTTGATGATGAGCGTGGGGTCGGGCACCATTGGGGATTGTGACTTAGTCCGTCCCGAATGACTATTTTACCGCATATTTGACTGAAATCTATTTGCTATCATCATGATTTGGACTTAATGCCATATTTGGGCCTTGTGCCAACTATTTGAACCCTTCAGGAATTTTTACTGGTATTTCCTCACTGTTTTGACTTTATACTTGAACTCAGTCATGTTATATTTCACTGTTTTCATACTCAGCCATATTTACTCTGTTTAACACTTACATGATCTTTTAAATGATATTTTTGGGCTGAGAATCATGTTTTACTATTGCCCGAGTGGCTTGTGAGGATTTTGACTAAGTAAGGCCGAGGGCCTATGTTGTGAGGAAACATTTGATACTGATTATGAGGCCGAAGGCCTGAGATATGTACGCCACGAGGTGGCTTGATTAATATGAGGCCGAAGGCCTAGTGATGATGCCATGAGGTGGCTTGATATTGCGCTTGGGCCGTAAGGGGCCCCTTCAGGAGTCTGTACATCCCCAGTGAGCGCGGATACCCATTGTGATGTGAGATTGAGCTCGAGGGGCTGGTATTGTTCTATGTGATTGCCCGAGGAGCTGGTACTGTTCTATGTGATTGCCCGAGGGGCTAGTACTGTTCTATGTGATTGCCCGAGGGGTGAATTTGTTGATACGGTGCACGAGGGGTGAACCTTTATGTGTTTATCTTTTTCTTAATTTCATGTCAATTACCATGCTTGATTGTTGAAAAAGGCTTTTCATGAAGTTAAATTTGAGTTAAAGAATTTTTACCTATCTTTCACTGGTTTACTGTTTTAAAGGTTTTACTGCTTCATTATAGCATGCTTTTGTGCCTTACTTGATTTCCTGCTTTCAGTCTTTATTTATGATTATTACTCACTGAGTTAAAGTACTCACTTTACTCCCTGCACCCTGTGTGCAGATTCAGGCGTATCTGGTCCCGCTCTCGAGTGCTGATCATTTCTGGCTCAGGCGGATCCGAGGAGTCTCTAGGTAACTGTATCCCTATCTTAGTCCTTCATGTTCTTAGTTTTCTGTATTAAACTCTGTAGTTATATTTGGAGTATTCCGTTTTGCTAGATGCTCATAACTAGTGACACCCCGGTATCGGGTTGTGTTGGGTTATTTTCCGCGAACTATGCTATTATCTGTTAACTTTGGATTATCTTATCATGCTGTAGATTTATTTCTTATGGTTTAACTGTTAATAATTGGATATGGGAAGTGTCGACTGGCCTTGTCTTCACGAGAGGTGCCATCACGACCAGGTCAGAGTTTAGGGTCGTAACAACAATTGAACAAGAACAAAGTCATGTCAATCAATTAGGTTAGTGAACAACTTAACAAATAGGTTGAATACAAATAATACAAAGTCATGCCAATACGGTAGAGTTCGGTGAATAATTAAACAATAACAAAGAGTTTGTGAACAATTAATAGTATATGTAGAGTAAATATAGCATAAAATCTACCAATCTAGCAGATAAGTTATTGGCAAGCAATAAATGTGTGGGGGGCCAGGGGTCATTTTTTTTTGTTGGTATTCTCGCCTATATTTATGTATTTCGTAGGTTATTTTTTGTGGCAGATCCCTGTGTTTTTTAAAATTTTATTGTTTGAATATAGCCAAATTAAATACAGTGTAAAAGCAGCTATGAATGAATACAGTAAATTGAATACAACTGAATATCAACTTTTTGTGATTTTTTGTTGTTTGAATACAATTGAATTAAATAAAATGTAAATGAATATAGTCGAATTGAATACCTTGTATACAAACGAATTGAATAGAGCGGTATACACCCTATTTTTTTTTTTGATTTTTTATTGTTTGAATACAACTGAATTCAATACAGTACAATGTAAATATATAAGAATGAATACATTTGAATTGAATACAGTGTGTACAACCGAAATGAATACAACGACATACATCACATGGCAAGCAATTAGTAGCTACAGAATGTAATCAGCTAAATTATAGTTACGCCCAGAAATACGTCTCCAAATAATAGTCATTTCTAACGTTCCCATTTTCTAAATACTTTAAAAAACGAAGATAGTATTTAAAGACCAACCCCTTGTAAGGTCATTCGTATCAATCACCCAATTATTACTGCCTCAAAAGTCCATATTATGCTTTCCAAACAATCGTTTTATATTAGAAACTTTTTAATATGGAACACTTGGTTAAGATCAAGTCCCCTGAAGACTATGCTTACTCTGATGGATTATTTTACATGATTTGTCTTTTTTTTTTTTGGTTTGAATCTCTATCCATATTTTAATACAATAATATATTGAAGGTTAATTTAACAGGATAATTTGACTTGACCAGTTGACTTCTAGCTTAGTGAAGGTCAAGAGTGAAACAAGTGATACAAATTTCAATTGTTAAGAAGCCGCGTTTGCTCCTCTTTATTTGACTCCTTCTATTTTGTGTATGTAAAAACTCTCCAAATTCAGAAACTAATTCCATAGAATTTCTTTATTTTTACTTTTTTGGCCATTATTCTCCTCCTTTTAACCTAGCTGGAGGCCAATTCAAATTTACTAGTTGATTGGCTTTATCCGAACATCCGCTACTGATGAAGAAATTTGTTCGAAAATAAATAATAATAATAACAGCGATAATATCCCCAGTTAAACTTCAGAGCACATAATATTATGCTAACACAATATCTTTTCCAACGGTTAGGATAATTGCCTTCCAAGCAATAGACCCGGGTTAGACTCCGGCAGACGCAATTTTTGTACCTTTTACTTATTTACCAATTCTGTGCATTTATTTGTTATTTAATGAAAATCTGCATATATCGTTTCGGTCTATAAAGTATGGTATGTTTATTTTGTAAGATGACAAATTGCAGGTCTAGAGTGTTTCCTTTTCTATGCATTTATTATTACAGGTCTAGAGTGATTCCTTTTCTATTCATTTATTTTTATTTATTTTATTTTCCTATTGTGAAAATCTGCATTTATTCTTTCGGCATATTTTAAAGAAGTTTGGTAGGTTTATCTATTAACCTAAGAATTGCAGGTCTAGATTGTTTCCTTTTCCCTGCATTTATTTGTTTGTTTATTTCCTTATTTTGAAAAACCATGTGTATATTATTTCCACATTTCGTTGAGAAGTCTGCTAGGTTTATCTTGTAACCTAATACTAAAAGGTTGGAGGTCTAGAGTGTTTTCTTTATCTCTTTAATTATTCCCTATTTTTGATAATTTGCATATTCTTTTTTAAAATACTTTGGTAGGTCTTGTCATGTAAGCTAAAAATGCAGGAGTGTTTCCTTTTTTTTTTTTTAAAAAAAAAAAAGATAATAAGCGGCCATTCTTTGTTTTTGCACGCCTTGTCTTAATAAGCTTTTAAAGATGTAGTTCTAAGCACTTATTGTTAAGAATTTAACTTGAAAATTTTGCAATGTGCACGTTACAGCTTCACCTCCACGCAGTACGATTGGCTTATAACATTTAACAGCTTGTGAGTTAGTTGACTTCAATACCTAGAACAATGAAGAATATAAGTAAATGCTCTGACGCCAATAAGTTTTTCAAAATAAGAAAATAAATTAAAAAATTAATGCAGAGAAAAGAAAACACTCTAGTTATGTGTGAAATTAGGCGCATGTCAATGGTTCGCATCTTGCCACAAAGTCTGATATTTAAGTGGGTAATGCGGGCCCATTATCCGTGAATAATGCGTCACTAGGTTTTGGTCTAGTGGTAAGAACGCATATGTTATGTGTGAAATAGGCGCACATTAATGGTTTGAACGTTGCCACAAAGCGGGGGAAGTGCTCAATGAGCCACTAATTAGAGATGTCTTTATTCTTTAGCCACTTTTTAAAATGTATTTATTCTTTAGCCGGTGCTTAAAATTTTTTTATCCGTTCGGACGAAAATACCCCTGTGCTAGACATGGGTGCTTTGTAAATATTAAGGACATGGTGTCCTTAACTTCATGAGTGTTGTGTAAATATTATGGACAAAGTGTCCTATATTTGCACCTTCTGTTGTTAAACTTTAAGACATCATGTCCTTAACTTAATATGTGCAGTGTTAATGTTAAGGACATAGTATCCTTAACTTCAATTGTGCGGTGTAAATGTTAAGGACAAAATGTTCTTATCTTGTATTTGCACATTCTGTTGTTAAACTTTAGGACATCATGTCCTTAACTTCATATGTGCAGTGTAATGATGTCCTTAACTTCATGCGTGCAGTGTAAATGTTAAGAACATGTGTCCTTAACTTTATGAGTATTGTGTAAATATTAAGGGCATGATGTCCTTAACTTCATGAGTGTTGTGTAAAGTTAAGGACACCATATCCTTAATATTTACACAACACTCATGAAGAAAGGGTAAAAACGTCTTTTCGTATTAATTTTAATAGAGCAGTGACTATTTTTGCTCAGCATTAAAAATACTGAATAAAAACTAAATACCACATGAAAAAATGGTTATCTCACGCCATTTTTACCCACAAAGCCTGATATTTAAGTGGACAATGCTGGCTCATTATCCATGAAAAATGCATCACAAGCCCTCTGGGATTTGTCGATTACAAAATAAAAATACATGCCCTGATCATTCTTTTGAATATCATGGTCCTAGATTAGACATTGTTCTTCTGGAAGCTGTAGGAAAACTAGAAACTGAGTTGAGTGTGTTCCCTAAAGAACTGAATGGAATGCAGACAAACTAGAAGTGCAATTTTCTAGTCAGTAGACATACATCGAGCACATTTGCAATGGAAACCGAATCCTTCAGAAAGGATAGCTTGCCGAGCATTATGATCCATGCTTGCATCGATGTAGCATATCCGCAACTCTTCTCCTGTTATATAACATGACAGTTTAAACGTCAATGCGAAGTTACTGATGAAATCCTAGAGATTAAGAAACAGTTAGATGACTGAAAACAAAGCAGGGAATTGACGACTTATTTGTCAATTATATTATGCCAACATGCTCAGCTGGACGGGAGATCACCAGTTGAGGTTTATCTTTAAACTATTTATAATAGAAAATCTCAGAGAGACATATTCATGGGCAATATTACCAGTAGAAGGAAATCAATCAGAGAGAATTGGAATTAACAGGCCAAAATGGAGCAAATGAATATTGAATATTCATATTATTGACCTCAACTAGCTTGGGATGGAAGATTTTGTTGTTGACGATTTTTGCTGTTTTCTTGTTGTGTTTGTAATATAGCAACATTAACCAAATCATAATTACGCAGAAACGTAGATGTTCACCGCAATAGAATTGTAGGTCTAACAGCTTATGCAAAATATTAAGCATGCATTGTTTTGAGGTCAGAATTTGGATAACTGCTGCTATCGGGCTATAATCACGTGGAACCTCTGTATTCAATGACAATGAACATCCAAAAATTGAACCATAAAACAAAAGCCTAGACGGTTTCACCACATAAGTAAATATAGCGTTCTTAAATCTTATGGGACTGATTCTCTTACAAAGACACATGTATAAAACCGCAAAGTGAACAGATCAAATAACGAAAGGAGAATCACCTGCTTCAATATCACGAAGTGCCTTCAATTTTGCGTTCACACTTTCTATCCACAGAATGTGTATATTGGGATCTGCAGGGGGAGAATATGAGTTAATTGAACTGCTTTGTGTTCCATTGGCACATCTCTGGATATAAGCATTGGAGCAAAAAAAGTTCTTTCTTTGTTCTTCTTCTAGGTTATTTTGTCTGCTTAAATTCAATTATTTCTAGGAAGTGGGTAGTACGGAAGTGAAACCACTAACAACAGTTGCAGATCAGAACTTGGAAGATCATAGCAAGAATGAAAGTACGGCCCTACCCATAAAGGCCAGTTTAGAAGAAAATGATTAAAGCCAATTTATAGGAAGAATGTTCAAATCTTTTGAATCACTGTGCATAGTATCCTTAGTCCTAATTGCCACAGATTATGAGACTCCACTGGGGCCAATTCATTAGCCGCAGCCCTTCAGAGGAACTAGATAAAATTCCTATGCGCCCATTCGACAACCATCAGAAAATTGCGGCCATAAGTTTATGGAGCTATGGAAACTTCATGGAGTTGGGAAACAAAAACGTGAACATATGCATAGTGTGAACATTAACCATGTAAATTGTACTGTCTGTCGTACAGAATCAAAACAACAGGCATGCAGACCAATGAAGTTTTTGTTTTGGTATGTCTCTACAAATATGCATTGCGATTTGTGATTGATGGCCAACTGAATTTTTTTAGATAATGTAAGTGCTAAACATCAGAAGAATGAAAACAAACTCTTACCGCAGTCATGATTATAAAATGACGGTAGTATATAAATAGCATTTCCAACAGCAGCCTCTGCGTCTACTGATGCTGCTGCTGACAAAAGGATATCTTCATACGATCCCAAGGCCAATTCAATCCGAAAAGAATTAATACGGATCCGTGCCAATACATCAATATACCATTGCTTTGTCAAAACTAGTAGAAGTTAAAGAGACAATAGCACCATTTCTCTCCCAGTATGTCCTAACTGATTGAAGTCCTCTACTTTAAATAATAACGAGACTACACCGAACACGCCTACTGTATTTCTTCAATAAAACTATAATACACTCCAATCCTACGAAGACACTAGATACGAAAGAGTAGGGATACATGCAATCTGCTCATCTGTGAACCCTGCATCTTCAAATGTGCTTCTCAGCAGCTGATATTCCTTCTCCATCTGATATTAAAAGGGTCAGAATAGCCTCCATTGATTACAGATCTAACTTGCAAGATGTAAGTCACAGGAATCTATCTCATTCACAAACTAATTAGGAAGAAAGTTTTATTTCATTCCACCTTCCAAGGAAAAAGAATCAAGCGGAACTTCTTTTTGTAAGTCATACAACATTCTTGACAGAGTATTTTCATAAATTCTGGTCATTGGCTGTTCCATTCATGAAAAAATAACTTCTTGAAGTACATTTAAATGGAATATAGATTTAAATGATGTATGCCTTTTAAAGGTACAGGCAGTATTATCAAAGGCCAAAAGCGGGAAAGAAAAAGCTCAGTTGAATCGGGTTTTATGTGCAAATCACAAAAAGGAGCAAATGAGTAAAATATATGAAAAAGATACGTACATAATGCATTAAAAATAATAATATAAAAAAAAAAAATAAAAAAAAAAATAACTCTTACGCACAAAGCGCGCTTAAGCCTGAAGCTCGGTGAAGCTCAAGTTGTGCACTTCACTTCGTTTAATTGGCGCTTCACCTAGTTTGACAATACCTGACTACCTTAGCCACCATATATTATGCACTAATGCCTCTCCTTACTACTGTTGGTATGATCGAAAATATTTCTTCAACCAATAAGAAAAAGAAAACCTTGCAAAAGAATCCCAAGTTTCTTGTTGAAGATATTTATCTATGTTTACACGACGACACTCACCTGTTAACTTCGGAAACAAAGTTTTGCAGCAAAAGTTCGTTACACTGCTGAATGAGATACAGTAAAGATTCTCAAGGATTAGAAAACAGCTAGCGAGTTTGAAGTTTTAATACAAACACCACAAACATGGATTCCAACTTCTAAGCAAAAGGCTGAACCTGAAATACTCACCAGTAAAATCATTCCGGAAGATAACGTTGCTGGCTGAAGTATGTCAAAAGTTTCAGGAGTGGAAGCTCCAGATATAATCATGCAAGCCAATCTCTTTACTAGAAGTGGATACTTTAGGCCCTGAGTTCTTCATAACAATAACAAGCAAAATGAGGAAAAGCGACTTATAAAGATAAGTGAAATGAATATCTCCAAGCTATGTGTCATTAGGTCCATATATGCTTTCTAAAGCAACTCCAACAGTCATTCACGCCTTAATAGCTAATAGTACAATGAATCACGAAGGATGATTTCCTCCCTATAATCATATCCTATCATCATATACAAAACCATGATATAAGGTTTATTAGCAAAAAAATGAGATGGAATGAGAGATCAATCATATGTTCATATTTTCTACTTTAAAATGGAAGCAGACCATAGGAAAGCCACTTCCTTCTTTTACATGTGGAAAGAATATCTATTGCATTCGAGAAGTATCCTAGTTTCTAGCTAAAACTAAGAAAAGACTTACTTGGTAACAGAAACTAACCAATAAAACATGAGAAAGAATCTACTTATGCAGACAACCCTTATACTCGAATAGTTCTGCTAAGCAGATTAATTGGAATACCCAAATCTGACCTGCCAAAAGAAATTCAGATTATAGGAAACCTGATAACTTAACATGTTCCATGTGTGGACAACTTATAAGCTAGAGAACAGTAAATTTTATCTCATTCAAAAAATAAGTATATCTTTCTCAAAAACTTACTCTTCGAATTGTTCTATAAATGTATCTTTTCTAAAAAAGTATAAATGTATCTTTTCTAAAAAGCAAATAGTTATAAAAATGTTAATGTAAGTTATCTCGCATCATCTGTCTCCTAGCAAAAGCCAAAAGGTACGTGGGACAATTCCCATGATATCCTGTAGCTAAACGCATACAAAATTTATCAAATTTGTTGAAATAAATTGTTTAACTAAATGTAAAAGAATAGTTCTGAGTGTTGATAGATTTATAAATGCTTGAATTCTTTTCTTTGGAACATATGGATGTTGGGAAAAGTGCCCTCAGTGATCTAATTCAGAATTTCCTGTTGACAAATTAACATTTTGAACATATAGGAAACAATATTTCATTGCCTTCTCCCCCCTCATGTATAAGAATTTAGTAGTGGTATGACTCGAACTTAACCATGTAATGCCCATATACATAGGCAAGAATGTGACGAATAGGATAAAATTGATTCAGGAGAAAACCAATAGAGCAAACAAGAAAAATTCTATCCAGAATAGAGGGAAACTAGAAACTTCCGTACCGACAGTATTCATGAATAGCTGACCAATCTGCTTGCTTTTCAGTCTCATAGAAGATCTAAAACCGTGAGATAACATTAGTTAAAAGCGAGATATACTAATACAAGCAAGCTTCTTTATCGGAAAAAAAACATTAATACAGACGAGCTTATTTTAAAATCCAACAACCAAGACACATTAAGCACAACAAAGTAAGTATATAGAGCAAGTCATAGGATAGTCCCCTTGTGGAGTTATTACAGCATATAAAGTTCATAGTCACTTAATTACCGCTAAAGAAGCCATTAGGTTAATTAATGGAAGCTAAATAGTCTTTCCATAAGAAGATCCAAGAAGTAGTTAGTCCATAAGGTCTTACTGTGCGTTCTGATATCACCAGCTTATTGCATGCTCGTGATATCATCAACTCCAACCTGTCACCACAGGTTCATTCATTTGGTAATGGATCCAGGATTTGAAGTTTATGAGCTCCTAGCCTCCTACCAAGAAATCAATATATAATTATAACTGGCCAAATATTTATAATTATTCAGTGGATTTCTTAATACTTATACAGGGCCAGAGAAAAGAAGCTACTAAGTTCCCGTGAACCCATAAGTTGTGCTCTCGATCCGCCACTGTTGGTAATGCCAGCAAAATATGAAAACCCCCTCTAACCTGAGATTTGTAGAGTGGCAACGCGGCGGTAGATTCGTTACTGTTTCCAGAAGACTATCTCAACTAAAGTAGAGGGCACAGTCTGACGACAAAACTTGCCGTTTGATCCTTGGAGATAATTAAATTGTTCGTAAGCATGAATTTTCACTCTTTTAGAAGGTCATAATAAAATTGAAATGATCAAACTGACCACAGTTAGGAACTCTATTGACATTGCACTTCTCTTTCATTTTTTTTGATATTAAGAGGGCACAAAGTGAACTTCAACCAGAATTCATAGTATTATGTTAATGCTGCCTCTCAATCCTTAACCGCCAACCCCACCCCACCCCCAAGTTCTCCTCCCTCTTAAACAATGTTCTGAATGTCTTTCCCGGAAGGTAATTGACAAATGACAGCACAACACAAACATCAAACGAATTGTGGAAATGGCTCAGTTCAAGATGTTGTTAAGATAGCTTCCCTATAGTTAAATGGTAGCATAACCAGATTTGGACTAACCTCCAAAGCTATTGAAATGGGTCAATTCAAGGTGTGCATTTCTAACAACAACAACAAACCCTGTATAATCCCACATAGTGGGTCTTGGGAGGGTAGTGTGTACGCAGCCTTACCCCTACCTTGTGGAGATAGAGAGGTTGTTTTCAATAGGCCCTCGGCTCAGAGAAGCATAAGAACCATATTAATGAAGAGAAAAACAAGAAGCGCAACCGCGAGAAGCCATGTAAAAGCAGCATAAATAACAACCAGATAGTAAAATGACCAAAATGAAAGAAACTACAGGTAATCATAGAAATCTAATACCAACAGAATATGAAAGTACGTACTAATACTACCGGTATGACAAGGAGAACATTAAACTAACTAACGTGTACATTTCTACTTACTCTTTTTTCTGTGATAGTGGTCCGCTCCAACTTATGCACACCTCCACTAATTCATCCAGCAATCTGCTAAGGGCATCTCCAACCTTCACTCCAAATCTTTACTCCAAAATAGAATAAACTAACTCCAATTTCCTCAAAAAATGAATATTCCTTTTTATATTCTTCTCTCTCGTCTATATTATTTTATTATCTTTTATTTAAATTTTATTTTCTTATTTCCATTAAACAAATCCTATCTTTTTTTTCCTTTTTACATATTCATCCCATATAATTCATATTTCTTTCTTATATAACCATTTAAAATAAAATTATTTTATACCATAATTTTTTAAATAATATAATTTGTATGCAAATATTATAGATTAAACATATTAATGGATAATTCAAATCGTTGAGATATAAGATAATTCAATACATATTTCATGTAGTTTAAAATTTAGTTTAAATATTACTTAAATATTCAACTTCCACCTCTAGTATGCTCCCATAAATGATCTATTAATGCATTACGAAGCGGAAAATGAGCATCTTTGTCCTTTACATACAATTTTACATAAAAATAATATATGCACGAAAATTAATTTATCAAATTATACGCTAAAATTAAGATGTAAAATTAATATTATAAAGATATTACATAAACATAATTAGATATATATAATATGATAAATTAAAAGGGTTAGATAATAAAAAATAAAAAATAATAGAGAATAGTGATGGAGTAGATGTCTGGAGTGACACTATTCACCCTCCAAATTTGGAGGTGGGTTGAAGCAAAATTCCTCCATTTTTGACTCTAAAATGGAGTTTGGAGGCAAAAATATAGTATGGTTGGAGATGGCCTAAGCACTAGTATTGGGCAAACTACCAACTAAAGACTAAAGCAGGTGGGCTTGCGCTGAGCGCTGTGGTTAGGACTCCGGGCACACTTCCATTATCCACTCAAAGTCTCAAACAAAGCTAACCATACAACTCTATAAAAATACCATCCATTTGGAAGAAGAAAAAATAATCAATCTTTGTCATAAACCCACTTTCAAACAGATTGTGACATTTACATTTCTAAACAATGGATACCTAGTTCCCATAGCTATATGTCGTCACTAAACAACGACGTAATCTCTCAAACATATAAAGAAAACAAACTTTACGAAAAAGGGTTAGTATACCTTGGAATCTTCTCTACATTCATCACTACAAAACGGAATATTTGACGCTTCAGTTTGGTTCTTGAATTGAAGCTTCTTGAGGCAGAAATAACAGACGCTATGAAGTGAAGAAAGAGAAGGGTGAGAGACGATGGGTTTGGCAGTGTGGATGAGTTCGCCGGAGCCGATTCTCCGAGAGGCAAACACACCTCGACCGGCTGACTCGGTGAACCCGACTTGGATCGGAGGCGGCGAAGCGAGTCGACTCGGGCTTGACTCATTTGCGTAGCCATTACAAATTGAGAGGAACGGGTTTTTCCTCCTCGTATGAATATGAATATTGGACATCCGACGGAGTAATGGTAACATTGCCGCTACTTCTGAGTGCTGACCCAAATTGGATTTGTAAATTTTACCTCTAAACCCCGAACTTTTTCTTTTTTTTCTTACTCATATTCCTTTTTTCGGTAAAATACACACCTGAGCACTTTTTAAAAAATATTTAAGAAAATAGTATTACTACTTTTTGTTTATTTCATAAATAGCAAATTTTCTTACACTAATGGCAGATAAAGATTAAGCACATAATTAATGAGCAGACAAAATGCATAAATTATGGAATATTGCCTTTCCATACTTTCTCTCCTTTTTTAAAAATTAGGAATTCAGTTATGTTCTCTTAATTTTCGTTACATTTATCTACATATTTTTTAAAATTTTCCTTTTCCTTTTGACACCATACTATCTGTTAGACCCCTGACAAAGCTGATCGGCAAGCGGCACGGCAGTGGCAAGGATTTTGGCATGATGGCCTTGCCATTGGCCTATGTGCGAGGGAAAATCAACATGCAAGACAATGCGGGGGTGTTGTCAATGGCAACGAACCGTTGCTAAGCAAGTGAGACGGACTACACTTGCATTTGAGGGCTAAAGTGTGACGGACTACACCAAAGCAAGAGGGGGCTGCGTACAAGCAAGGCCAAGACCTTGACGGAACTAGGCGGGCTGGATGGGAGCTTGACAAGCCAAAACGGGAAAGACCTCGGCGCTAAAGTGAGGCAGCTTAGTGCCAAGGCAGTGGCATTGGCAATGTGGTGTTGCCATGACTTAGGTGAGCGGACTGGCACCTAAGTTAATTGTGGGCAAACGACTTGGCAAAGGGAAGGGCATCAAGGCTTGGTGACTTGATGTTAAAATCAGCATGGGCAACGGGCAGACTTGATCAAGTAGGGGCGACTTGACAAGGACAAACAACTGTGGCAGCGGATGGGCGTGCGGCTAAGTCAAGGGTGACGAGCTGTGGCGATGGCATTGAGCGGGAGCAGTGTCAAAGGCTAAGGCTGGGCGCAAAGTCAGCCTTAGGCGTGCAGCAGCTGGCCAAGAAACACGCACATGCAGTGCACATGAAGTGGTTTTCAAGTGTGCTGTGCACATGCCAAGCAGTTGGCGGTTACAACCCATGTCCAAGAGTTGCTGATTAAATAGGCTGAGTCTTTGCACGTTTTGGGGGCATGTTAGAGACATGTTCCCCACGTTTTGATCATGGGGATCACTTCCTATCAGTTGGGGGATGTCAACTGAACATAGGAGACTCTTTGGGGCTGACTACACTATATATATGTGTGTTAGCAGCCTTAAAAACGGGCTAAGTACCTAGGGAGGGAAATGTCTGAAAATAGGCATAGGGTTGTCTATTTCGTGGCTTGAGCATGGCAAAATATGTGCCATTGCCTTGCCAAATGAGTGGCAGCACGAGTAGCCTTAGGCAGGGGCTTTTATAGGGCGAATTCGTGCAAGTGTAGGCCATTTTTTGTGAGTTGGTGCCTGCCAAGGGTGGCAGCACCTTGCCTAACTCGAGATTTTCCTTTGTAATTTGATTTATTATAAAAGGTTGGGAAAGGGTTCCCGTAAATCTGTGTTGCCTTTGTTTTTCTTGTTGCCTTTAAATTATTCTAAGTGTTGAACCTCGAAACCAAACGAAAATTGGGTAAGGCTGAGGTCAAGTGGGGACTTGACTGCCGCACATCGGGCAGCATTTTCGGCGGACAGAAATTGCCGGTGTGACA